TTGTCCTGTCTTGCCGCCTCAGCGCATCACTTTCTCCATGACAATGAGCCACAGCACCCTGAGAGGCGAGGTCCCCGTGGCGTGGCTACTACGAGTCCTGTCCCCAACCGCTGACTCTGACAGATGTCCTTTTGGCTATTCTGAGCGAGGGGGGATAAAAGGAAAACAAACGTCCACGTTCCTGCCAGGCGGTGGGCAGGCCGTGCGGGGATGACAGCACGTCACTCTTACATAATTCTGGAGCTTCTCTGGACATTACACTAATGAAAACGCAGCCTGTGCCACCACCGCTGCTGCTGCTGCAGCCGCTGGGATAATTGTGGTACTAAGCCCTGACAGATCATGTATGCTCCCTGCCCCCTCCTCCTATAATCCCCCATCCAGGCTTAGTCTTCTCGCCATTTACACCAAGACAGACCCATCTCCCCCCCCACAGTCTCCCCTCCACCAGGGCTAACTCCGTATGGAGGTTTATTAACGACAAAACTTTAATCAATCTGCTAGTCAAGATTTAAATGTGCACAGGGACAGATTTGTAAGTACGAAACACGTTTTCAGAGCCATGTACTGATTTTCTGCAAGCTTCATTTGAAATCTGCTCTCATTACTCTCTCCAGCTGCTTCACTTTCAATGACTCATTCAATCATACAATCACAGGACTTAAAGGCAAACACTACCATGTAGAGTTTTCTTTTCTATTCTTCCCTGAAAATACTTATTTTGGTCTTTCATATGACTGGAGAAAGACCAACCATGTGTTAGTCGTCCTACGATTTCGACGATTCGATTTTTAAAACTGGCCTAGTAATTCCCTAAAACATTACTTACGATTAAATAGTGCATTTGTTGGGGACTATTTATAGCTGTGGATTAATACACATTTAGTGCATCATGTACATCTCGCCCAGGGAAACAGACACACAACACTCGTAGATCTTGCAATTCCTTCAGATTACGCATTTTTTTGCAAAGAAACGGTCAAACTAAAGGATGATTTAAGACCAGAGTAATAAATATCAAGTCTCAAACAGCACCAAAATGAAGTCTGATTTCCTCCAACATGGCTGTGTGAACCGGCTGCTGCTCGGACCAAGCTTGTCTAATTAAGCATTTATAAAGTTACTGAAACTCAACAATTGCGAGTCCTTTTATATCAAGCCTCTGTCAGACCAAAAATGGTAAACGGAGTGAAATACAGCGCTCCCATGGCTCAATGTCCTCCAGTTGCATCTCTCGTTCACTCATTTCCTATCATCTCTCCACTACCGCTGTCTAACAAAGACGGAAGTGCCCAAAATAAACAAAACTATAAGGCTGTTTCTCAAATGTTCGATCTAAAAACGGACGTACTCAACATACGTTTTGCACTCACTCAATAGTTTTGTCATTAATAAACTTCCATAATGCATCCACAGCCTTCTCCTCTGATAAAGTGCACACTTCTTCACTCCCACACTTGTGCCACCCCCGGCCTGCGGGCCACACCGCCGTACAGATTGAATGTCTGTATCTTGTAGTCCCAGAGTCACCATCTGACAACAGGCCGCCATGTCCTGAGAGGTTGTTAATAAATAAATAATCTTTGTGGCCTCTTGATGAACTGCCAACCAATGCAAACTCCGGACAGGATTTTTATCCCAGCAGCTTGGACGTCTGGATTACGGCTCTGGATGGTCGTGCCATGAGAGCTGCTGCAGATTTCACTGAGCAGCAGAAAAATCCTGCAGCAGTCCAAGGGGGGCTGAAAATACCAGGAGCACAGCGGGGGAGACACAAACATAAGAGTCTATTTTTGAAAACGTTGGGTAACAGCAGCACAAAGGAAAAGAAGGAGAGAGGTTTTTTAAGTTCACCCGCTGTGTCGTCTTTGTCAGAGGAGCTCAGATTAAGGAGCCTTGTCTGGGATGAAAGCAGCGAGGAGACCGAACCATTAAGCTGTGCATAATTCACACAGCGGCATGACATCCACAGGCCGTTTTTATCATAATCCAACACCTTACGGTAATCTCACAGAGGACATTCATCCAACCCCAACTGCATCCAGACAGTGTGTATGTATGTGTAGGGATACAAACACTACTCTAAAGGTGCACAATCACAACGGCGTACACCTGGTGCTTGCTGAGGGAAGGCGTCAGTAATCCATAACCTGTACACCTGTAATGGTTCTACACTTTCAGTTTCTTCAACCACATAATTCTCTTATGGTTTTGTGTGCTTATGGAGGTCATATAGAGGCATCTGTATTAAATTGAGAGTGTGTAACAACCAGTTAAAAACTTAATATGTTTAAATCAAATATTTCAATCGTATCGTGACGTCATCCATTGGTTTGTGGAGAACCGTTTTGAAGCCTAACATGACAGTTAGGCGGAGCCAGCGGGCTGCAAGTTGAGCTGCGCAGTTTGGACCCGTCCGTAGCAGGAAACAATGGCGGCTCACCTGGTCACACACAATCTCGTTTAACAGATAAACAGTACACTAAAATGTGTTTCTGAAAAGGTTTTAAGTGAGAAATGGTCAACACAGTAACAGAATCTAGCTTCGTATTTGATCAGCTCTGTCTAGTCTGACAGTTTAATCTGAGTTTGGTGCACTGCGCTGATCGGACTCACTGAGTGTGACCTGTCAATCATAAGGTAGCCCCACCCAAAAGCATACTTGACTGTATCATCTATTTTACTCTAAATTGGACCATGATTTACTAAATGAACATCATAAGCGATTGAGACCATAAACTCATTAGGAAACGGATTACTGAGCTCATAAATTCATAAAACTTTGCGGTGATCTCCGCTAGGTGCTCGTCTACTCGTCGGGAGCAACTTGTGTTATATTTATGTGCTGAGATATGCAACTATATTTTTAATAGTGTACTTTAATTTAGTTTTATTTTTTATTATTAAGTCATTAAATAAAATGTAAAGTAGTAATAGTAGCTAAAAAAACTTGGATATGGATATATAGATTTAAAACATTAATATAGAGAAAACCAGTATGTTTCTTATTTTGTTTCTGTCCATATTGCTTAAATCCACAGTAAAATGACTGTTTTTGTCTATGGAGTCTGGCGGCGAGCAACAGCAATATTATGGCTGTTTCTGGTTTAACAAAAGACAGAATAACAATCTGAGTCAGTGGCAAAAACAAGCACTGTTAGTGGACGTACTTTGACGGGCTCATTTGTCCCCAAGGACGTACATGGCCGCCACAGCTGCCCGTTTCATGGCTCTTTTCTCATCCAGCTCAGTGAATAATGGTTTATTTCAACCAAACCAGAGTTAGAGGTTGTTGGAAAGACTACTTTGTGAGTTCCATTTTCCTTCAGCCCAGTTTCCAGTGTGTTTTACGATTATGTTCTAGGTAAAATTACAGGCTTTGTCATTGGAGTCTGGTTGGCCATAGTGCCCATTGTTTTGGTCTAATGTTGGCGCTCTAGTGCATCAATGAGTGGCAAGTGAATTTTGTACATAAAGCTTTCAAAGGTTGGGTGTGTTTTTTTTCTCCAGCTTAAAACTTTACAATCATCAGTATTGTTTCTCTGTAGGAACTGCATCAAACCTGCAGGTCGGGGCTTTTCTTTTTTAAAAAGGGTTATATTTAAATTATGAGAAGAGGGAGAGAGATTCATTCTTCCGGCTAATTCCTTTGTCGCTGCATGTTTTCAGTATTTAATGAAGTCTGAGAACTGCCCTCTATTTTTTTTTCTTTTTCCACAGTGTGAGCAAATGTAGCTGGAGTTGTTTGGTCGTCTTAATGCTTTTACGTAAGCGGTTTGTTTCTTTGCCCCTTGTCACTTTCCCTCATGTTGGAGTAGTGCTGATTTACTAAGGCCCAAGGCCATTATGCAATGTCCATATGCAATGCATGTGCGAGCCAGATGGAGGGACAAATGCCACTCACAAATCTGTGATGAGAGTAGAGAGAGAGGGGGAAAGTGTGTGCATGTGCCCTGCACAGGTATAATCTGGATCAGCGGGGAGCATGAGGTGACCTAGAGAGGCAAACTAGACACTGGAAAAATATGACATATTACAGTTTTGCATGACACAAACGCCTGTTCATCTCACGGCTGCAGGTTTTTTCTTTTCAAGAGTTTGTCGAGTGAAATAATGCAAGCTGAGGAATGAGACAGCAGCTCGGTTTACAAGGCACTCACCAGTCTGATGACAACATTTCCTAGTATTGTTTCTGATGAAGTTTACTTTCTGCGATTACACATAGTAAGTCTTTCAAGGCTGATGCTGATTATTTGTTTGAGCCAGGATCAGCCAGCAAGATTGCAGGACAAAGCACTTTACACTGTCTGACCCTTACCCATTCACACACCGATGCCCGTGGAGCTGCCATTCACAAAGCTGGCCCGGCCGTTGGGGATGTATGTGAGGTTCACTTGTGGACAGGAGCAGCTAAACCACTGAACCAAGCCTGCAATTAGTGGGTGACCGGCTCGATTTACTGAGCCGCAGCCTGCACCCGAGGTTTACACTCTTAGCCGCACGTCTTTTTCACAGAGAGCGCCCCCCGAGAGCCAACTAAAAATAAAGTGTAAATCACTAAAGTGAATTTGATGGCTGAGTGGCAGAGCTATTGTGCATGCTGGCTGTCCAACACGGTGGTAGGCAGGGGACAATATAAAAAAATGCCATGTCATGATTTATAGCGCCAAAATAATTGCGATACACAATATTATCATGTTAACATACTACACTTATTTATTGCCTCACAGAAAGACCCCTCATCTCCCTGTCCTTTACTTCACTTGGAAATAGTATAGATTATACTATTTCCACACATCCGGATAGATTATACTATTTCCACACATCCGGTTTTTTCTGGAAAGCCGAGCCTTCAGCCATTGTGACAGTCTAAGGATTTTGGAATCACTGGAAAGATTCAGGCTGCCCCTTGTTCCTTTGTTCAAAATAAAATCAGGAAATCTATATAGGACTGTATGCTGGAGAGGTAGACAGCTTTTTCATGTAATATATCCTCCCTTCATGAAGTTTAACTAAAGGCTCTGTTCTTATTAAAACTGTTTTTAACTGTATGGACATTTTGGGGGATTTTGGAACATTATAACCTTCACGTAGGGAGGATTTACTGTAAATCAGAGTAGGTGTTCAAAAGGTTTTACAGACTGTAATAGCATTTGAATTACCTCTCAGCACGAGGCAATACCACTCAAGTTTTACATTAAAACTCAACAGCACCACAAACTGCCTCGAAAATGACTATAAAGATGACTGAAACACAACATTTCACATTATGACCTCCCTACATTTAGCCCGTATTAAGCTATGTATACATAATAAACTGGCCACTGAGTGTGTTAACCTCTGGAGTGGTATAGTCTAGCTACATTACCCTTAAGAGGAGGAAAAGTACAAAGCAAGTCTCACACAGTGATAGTGTTAGCTGCCATTTCAGGAAAGGTATTTCCCCCCTTTCCACTTATTTTTGACGACTCAGAATAAGTTATAAGTTACTCCTCTGAAACTAAAAGCGGCTGGCCAAAATGCTGTCTGCTAACCGGTAAAAACACACAGCACACACACTAAATAAATATACAACAGTACAATGGCAGCCCAGCCCCACTCTCTTCCTCCCATGTATTTACACTGCAGCTACAAGCACACAGACACTGAGGCCTCAACGCACTGTAGGTCACACTAGAAGTTTGGATAACAAGTAACCATTAGATAAAAGAGAAAATAACACACTGCTGCCTCTAAGAGCACGATAAAAAAAACTGTTGTTCGCTTCTGAACCTGCCGAAATGCAACCATACCACCTGTAGGCATCAGTACAATGTCCTAATATGGCAGTGAGCGAGAGCCACGAAGGACGGTGAAAACATGTCGACGTCCCGAACAGTGCGATACACTCACCGTCTGCTGCTGCTCCTGTGCGGCCAGAGGTTAGTCCCTGTAGTGCGGCTGGATGTGGAGGATGTGGAGGATATGGAGGATATGGAGGATATGGAGGGTGGAGAGGGCGACCAGGGTTTCAACGGGGAGAAGTTTTGGTGAGTATTTTTGATTTCGTCGGGTCCTAATAATGATTTCCTGGTTCTCGCAGGTATGTGGGCGGGGCTTAGAGACTGCAGGTGTGTGTTAGGTCACGGCTGTAGTTTCGGATGTGACTCCCTTAGGGTGCGGCAGGTGGTGTCGTTCCCCTGAGTCACCCATCCTGTAGCCTACAGTTTACTACAGACACATACAGGGAGCAGCGGACACCGTGAGTCCAAGATGAATTTCTGTTAATAACCACATTAATTCTAGGTTATTTCATTAATTGATCTTTAAATGGGCAGTAAAAAGGTAATGTATTAATCCATCAGCTGTATATAGTGTACATATTTCTAACTCGTATTCTTCTTTTTCTATTTCTATTATATCTTGTATTTTTTTCTATTTTGTTCTTATTAATGTGTATTTAATCATCTATTGTGTTGTATTTGGAGCTACTGTAGCTAGTGAATTCAAATTTAAAAGGTGTTACTTAGAGAATGAATGATTGATGAATATCAGTGACAAATGTGATAAATCATGTGCGCATATATGTGAATTAATCACAAGTAAGGTGTAAAGTTATGGGTTTTTTTATATGTGATTTCGTAAATTTCATATGTGGAATATAATGTAATACATTAATATCACCAGATGCTCAGATCACTCGAATTTCTCATAATAATGGCAAATATGCTTTGTCATCTGAGTAAAACAAGGCTACTGTTCTTGTTTATCACTCAGTTGCCTGGGATTACATGAAAAGTTACATTCATTATTTCAGTCTAAATTAGACTTAAAATGTTTAACATGTATCTTACATATCGTAGTCTAATAATCACATTATTGTTTACACTGTGTCTTGTCAGCATATCAAGCTCAACTTTGCTCTGCAAGATATGAAAAGATATGTTCTTTATGTTTGCTTATCACCTCAGTTTCTCTACTTGAGTTTCCCCCCTTACAAATCACTTTGCATACCAAATGCAAATACTGATAGTGATTAGATGCTGCCACCTCTGTTTTCTGCTCATGCAGAAAAGCTACAGAGTACAATAGCAGCAGGCTGTGATTATGGCACTTGTCTGACCGGTTCAACCTGTTCAGGTTAAGACACTTTGGCATGTCTGGTGTTATAAAAGCCGAGTATGAGATCTGTTAACGCATACAATTTGTCATTTTCTGAATTAAACTCCACTCCGTGCTGAGAGGTAAAATTTGCTGAGCTTTGATCCACAACAGCCACTGTGTCATAGTACAAGTACAAGTCATGCAATATCTGAGAGGGAGAGAATACAGATAAAACCCTTCAACAAATTCTTCAGTAATATAGGCAAATATATGTTAATTATATTTGCTTAGAGTAGTATTGCAAAATGTCACCACTGCCAGCTATTTTAAAATCACACTTTAAAACAGAAAGTAAGTAAAAGTACTTTGTTAATTTCCACCTCTGGCAGATGTTTTCATCCCAGTCACATTTACCTAAATCCTCTAAACCTGCAGTGTTGGCCTCACACTCTGCTCTGTAAAACCATCAGTGGGTGAAGACCAACACACATTACTGCACATTAAAAAATCGATTGAATTGAGCCAGTGAGTTTTCACGTTAAATGAACTTGTATGCACACAATATATTTTCTTATCTTTACTGTGACTTTAACATTATACACAATGAAGCAGTCTGCCTGTAAACAGATTCATTGTATCATCCTTTAATAGTATATAACAATGGACGGGACACATATGCAGACAAGTAAAGACAAAGCTTACCATCATTGACTGTATGTCTGTCTACAGTCTGATTTTATTATTGCTGCGCCCCCTTGTGTCTAAATAAAATATGACAATTGATGTGACTTATCCACGTTTAACTAATTCATGGGATTTTCTTGACTCCTACAAAAGTTTATAGAATTAAACTATGATGACGTCAGATCTATGACTGTACGCTATATGTTTTTGTTAAATACACACAAATATATTCATGTTTTAAATTTCTCAGTTCACTTTTCCCCTACTGTATTTGTGCTGGAAGATTTCCACTATATATGTAACTGCTGTAATTAATTAGTTTTTTTTTTTTTTTTTAAATAAATACCGGTAATGACTTTCTAAATCAAAATGTCGGTTATACACTTAGACAAAATTATGATTCTCAAAAAAGCACATTACATTAAATATTAATTTATTTCACAGACAAGTCCAAAGTATTGCTATATTACAGTTGTAGGCCTATAAATCTCATAAAAGCACAGATTTTTTAAACCTTTGAAGGCACATGAACAAAAAGAAGACATTTGACATAATTAACAACGATGGTCATTATTTACCTCCAGGATTCAAAACAATTTACAGCAGGCATTAGTTTTAATAGAGATGAAATGTACATTCTCTAGGGAAATGACACAGGGAGGCATGAAAAGTTGAGAACCAAAAACAGGTTAGAAAGTACGTGATTACAGCAGTAAACATTATAACATGAAAACCATCTTATAACAAGAAACAAGCAAATACTTTTTATCATGAAGGCAGCGGATTCTGTATGTTTGAAAGAAAATACACAAAGGATATAGAATAATGAATTTTTGTAAAATCATCTATACATAATGTTTGTAAGGTATCATAACACTCTCTATCACTCATGCGTATTTGAATGTGTCGACAGATGAATTGGCATTTTTCATTCAACATGGCTCTATGTAATTATATTATCTGAAAGTAACAGCAGACAATTATTTTTCCTGCAGCTGATTCAGTTACAATTTAGACATTTGAAACAGAAAATCAGACATCCAAGACTGAAACTTTTTGAGCACTGTTGTTAAACTAGCAGCAAAGTGTACAATAACAGGAGAAGAAACAGCTTCGTAGTGTTTTATATTAACACAGTGGTTCAGTGATCTCACCCCACACAGGCTGTATCCCCATCTGCTGATAATGGGACTTCTATAACAGAACCAGTGGTTTGGCATATATATTTAGTTTTACTCAGAAAGGAAAGGCACAGAGACACAGAGTGATGCTCACAGTGGAGAAACTGTTACTGCTTGTAGTTTTTGTCACTTTCACACAGTTGTGAGGTCCTCCTGATGGCTGTGAGGTCAAAGGTCAGACGTACAGGTGGCGGGAGAGGAGTCATCACTCATTTCTCTTCACTAGAGAACAAAAAAGATGTTTGTCATGTTTGTCATTTAGGTAACAAAGGATACAAGTTGGTGTTAAAAGTTGAACATTTACAATCTGGACATGGATGAATTGCTGAATGGGCCTATGACCCTTTAATATTGAGTTACCTGCTTATAACAGGTGTTTTTTCCTACTTAATACTACTGTCAGTAATTCATTAGTCTACATTGAGATTAGTAAAGCAGTTGTTTTACAGCAGAAAGCTGAGGTTTAGGGTGAGCCTTAAACCAAAAGCTGGACTTAACATTGATGGTTAATCTGCACAGGGCGGGGGTGGTGGGGCTGGTAGGTATGAGAGAGGTCCTTTTCACATCTGTGCCCAGGGGCACATTATTTTAATGTCTCCTTTGTGTAATTTAAAGGACCATACCGCAGTTTTTTGCTTGACATTTATTTAAAGCAAAGACATTAGAGTTCTGCTGGGTTCAGGCCTCAGTTTCTAGCATTGTGCAGCCTGGACCCTGACCTTTCAACCATCAAAGTCTTTGTAATCCATGAAGGAAAAACAGGCTTTATATTAACACAATAACAAAAACAGTCTCCTTCACCCATTCTGATGAGATGTCTTCCCTGGTGCAAAACTTTGTACATATCTCACTGTATATACTGAATAGGGCTCAACTAATTTCATTTTTATGTATCCAGTGTATTTCTTTTAGCATAAGGAGTTTTTTTTGTATCATGTGACCTCTTTATTGTAGGTGAAACTGCTTTGAATATATACCGTGTAACCTGTTTTTCCTTCACATGGATGTTTGCCTGATGAAGACCATGTCAAAATGTTACTTTCTTAATCTTTTGGAAGCCTGCTATATTGTGTGTGGACTTCCTCACTATTTCCTCAGCGTGTGTGTGACGTTACTGCTGACCAGTTTCCAAAACATCCTGCAGTGTTTTATTAATAATATTTTTTAGGGTTTTTTTTACCCTTCAGGCAGCAAATGGTTTCCATAGATGGTTAGGTTGTCCATCATAGGCAGCATCATTAATCAAATTATTTTTGTCAAAGTTGTGATGATGCTGTGAAAACAGATTGACTTGGGAAAGAAATCCCTGTGTTACTACACTACAGTAAACTTAATGCAGTGGCTGCCTGAAAGGAAGGAAACTATTCCAATATATAAAACATTAAGACAGCTTTGGAAGGTCAGCAGTAGGTCAAACATGCAGAAACATTGTTATGATCCTTTAAATAAATACAAAAAATAAAATAATGTAGAAAAAGAACAACTCTTTCCTCGTAAATGAGACTGGACTTCTATTCTATTTTGTGGGTTAAAGGTTAAAAACAGCTGGGAACATCTCTCGGACCAGTTAAGGATAAAGGGCTGTCATGTGTTCAAGAACTAGATTTCTCCTCCACCCTGACTATAGTTTTTGAATCCCACTGTTTTCTGTCAGAGGCTTTGAGAGTAGATTAACTCCGACGTCTGCAGGCTTCCCACAGAGCCCGAGGAGAACTGCTTAATGTGGGCCGAAGAACAGCTTCACATAAGCCTGAATGAGGATTTGGTGCTTATGTAAGAGAAGTGCTGCAGAAAGGGGGATTCATGGAGGTTTCTCAGGCTGACACAGACGTAAGGACTGAAGGGGGAGAGCAGGGGACTGGACTCTGCTGAGTCATACAGTATAAACGTCACAGGATGCCAGTGGGGCCTCTAGGACCCAAGAGCCACCACCACCAAAGAAGAAAGTTGATGGAGCTGACATCAAACAGTGCCTTGTCCAAAAGAGCAGATTAATGGAAATAATCAATAGGATAGTCTATGGATGTCATTTGCTGCTTACAGTTTATGGATGCTGGAACACAAACGACTGATCAACTCCAGCTGGGTCGCCTGGGTGAGACTGTGTGACGCTGAAATGCAGAGACACCCAGTGACCCCTGGATTCATTGTGAATAATGTTCCCAAATACACCAGTACAGAAAAGTATTAACAATTATTTTATCCTCCATCCTTGACAATATGAATTATATCAGATGGTGTTGAGTAGCCTGATATCTGTTTAAAATTTTAAAAATCTAGGAATTTTCCCCCAAACTGTGGCCCCATACTCTGTCGTACACCAGGTGTCACAAACTGTGTACAGCACGCAGCATTTAACCACTGTTAACTGTTAAAGCAAAAGTTCCACAATTTGGGGAATATGCTAATTTGCTTTCTTGCTGACAGATGAGAAGATTGATGCCACTCTTCTGTCTGTATGATAAATATGAAGCTATAGCCAGCAGCTTAGCATCTAAGCTAACTGACTTTTTGGTGTAGTTGTTGCCGGTAGTTAAAATAAGGTAAAATTATGCCCATTGTTCCAAAACCCCAATAGTCCAAAAAGTGACCCATTGGACCAAAAGCCCATTTATTTAACAGCTTATTATTCTGAAACCAAAAAACCCATTGCTCTGAAGGCCCATTGTTCCGAAAATACTCAGTCTGGTATCACCAACTTATGTACATAACTTAACTGACATAACTAACATACTTATTTTAACCCTTTATAGGGAAATTTAAAATTTTAACCCTGGAGTGTTATTGGCGGCTATAAGAAGACATTTTCTTTCTTTTTTGACTTTTTTAAAAGTTTCAGTTTTAGGCTGCAAATCAAAGTCAGTGATGTCTAGGTGGGCTGGCCCAA